AATACATGCCATTGTTATAAACTCTGCCTTTTTTTCCATCTTTAAGACCTGCAGGATTTTTGGACATCTTGTCAATTATTTCTGTTAATATCTGTCAATGTATAACAAATTCATGAAATTTACAAAAAGAAAATGTTACATACTTCTAACGCATCATCTTCTTTGTTCTTATGTAATAACCTTCTCACACATCCCATTTTCTGATCCCATGCATTCGAGGACATTTTATGATTAATTATATAACTTAAGATCACGAATTGAAGAAAATGTGTCTGATGAATTAAATGAAATGACAAAATTGGTTGAATGAGAATTTTGGTAATAGAATGAACAAATAACCGATATCAATGGACGAAATAGACGTGTGTATATATCGAAAATAATATCAATTGACGAGAATAATCGTAGAAATATAATAAATTGGTAATAAACGAAGTATTCGTAGAAATAAATCAAATAAAACCAATCCAGGAAAACGATGAAAGTTAAATAACAAAAGAACAATTGGACAAAATCCACTGGAATTAATTCGATATTAATAAGGTATATGAACGCAAATTAATATGAATCGAAAGAACGGCTTAGTTACAACAACCGAAACAAATTAATAATAAAGATAATAATGATTTAATCGGAAAGTAATCGGAAATGAAACAAGTATTTATAAAGAGTTCAATGATAAGAAAGAATGAATTGAACAAAGAGACGTGACCTAACATAAATGGCTGACTAGATCAAGACAGATGTAAACGACGATATGAACAAAGAGAAGGGTGTAGTTGGTTATTTGAAAGCAACTAATCGACAGATATGGAGAAAATATTTGATAAATATAAAAAGGAACCAATTGAAATAAACTTTATAGAAACAATATGGTCGAGATAAGCTAGTGTAGCTTATTCTTGGTCATTTGAATCAATAGAATTACGTTCCAGTCTTTATTCCTTTCTATCCATAAAATGTTTGCCATGTCTAATTTCTTTCATGAAATTTCCTTATGAAAAAAGATAATCAGCACATATAGTGTATCATTTTTAGTTAAATTAATCCATAGTCATCGTCTTTCAATTTAAACAATAAACTGGATAATAAATTGAGTTGATCACTCATTCTAAATCGAAAATGCTCGAACATACATTTGAAGGATATATAACTGTATTTGTTACGGTGTTAGAAAATCTTCGCTGTGACCTTGATTAAAGGAAGACTAATATTTCGGTGATAAAAACTAAAGATTGCATTTTTGAATCATCTCCCAATATTGGACCTTTTTCAGAATTATTTACTTTCTGATTAAATAATATTTTTTCGTTCGAATAAGAAATATTTACTATTGTAGTTCAAAAGCAACTTCAAAAACAATAGGATACTCGGATGAATTATTTACTTTTCCTAGGGCAAATGATCCTGAACTGATGGTTTAATTTCAAAGTAATGAAATGCAAGAAAACATGTATAGTTTTTTGGATGTAGGATTTCAAATTCTCATTTAAAGATCGCGTAAGGCTAAAAATCATTGTATTGTATTTGATGATTCAAAATTTTTGAGTACGAAACGTCTTGAAATGATAGTACGTGCAAAAGAAAAATTTGGAACTATACGATAAACTTTTACTATGTGGAATAATGTTAGTGATTATGAAATATTAAAATTATGGTTTCAAATTCTACGCTCAATGGTGAACAGATATTGTCAATAAGGATATGATTATTACTCTTTCTTTTGATAGCTTACTTTTACTTAATATATAATTTCCATTGTAAAAAAAAACTGAACTGATTCTACGGAGAAAAGAACTAACAAACACATTGATCAATGAAACAATGAGAACTTTCGGTTTTGATACTACCCATTATTCCGTGTTATGCATTTCAAAAACAAGAAGACTTAACTTTTACCTAGCATTTTCTGACCAATAAATGCCTAGAATAAGTTGGCTTATCTGACTTTGATGGATCGAAACTTGCATATATGAACTATAAATGGAACCAAAAGAAATCGTTTATACGATATTAGAATATTTTTTCTTGAAAAATATTCTCTCTAAAACCGAACATTATTTCGGTTACACAATATAAATATGTGTTGTGCGCTCTCTTTTTAATCTTGAAAGTATTATACATTGGTTGATTTTCGTGTGCATCCTTCTTAGATAGATGCTTCCTGCAATCGGCAATTCATACTATTCTATTAAGAACTGTGAATCATTGTGAAGGCCTATAAGTTCCTCGTTAGCAGAGTACATTTTGGGCTACCATCATATCCACTTTATTGGTACTGATTACTTGAAATTCTACGAGTTTTTCAAAGTCTCAGATGTTTGTCGAAGTTTTTCAGGACCTTTGTATATGAAGGAATGGAGTACACTGTTTTTCTTTAATTTGAGAGAAAAGCATATTACGATTAAGACGATGTTCAAATATATCACTAGGATAAATTGCCTCACATCTTATTACTTATCTCGTTCATTTTAATTCTTTTCCTCTTGAATCAAGTAGAACATGTCTTCTTTCGACGGCGGTCACTCATGTAGGTTCATTCAATTTTTCTCCTCTCTTAGCTTCAAAACGAATGGTGATAAATAAAAAGACAAATGTAATATGATCTGTTGAAAGATCAAGATGTTTATATTATGAATTGGGGAACAGAACGCTGCTCTTGCATTTAATTCTTCTCAATTTCTAAATAAGTTACAGAGATCGATGGTTATCTGAAAATATGAAATTTTGATGTACACTAGAGTATGTACTCAGGTACCAATAATTTATTTGTTCTTGGCAGAGACATGTCAAAAATAATCCAAGCGTTACCGCCATAGTTCTTCTCTTATGTTTCACTTTTCCATTTGTTCGAAATCTCACGGAACCTGAAACTCTAGAAAAAGTCAAAAATCAAAAGGAGTTAAGAGAAAAGCCTAAACATCAGCTTCTGAATTCAGGAGATTTTTTACCAATAGAAGAAGTTCGAAAATTCGGAGACTCCTGATCAAATTAGAAGATTTGGCAATTCTGATTTCTATATTCCTATAGTATGCATAAATCACGGATGGATCAACACATTTTGTATAGCTCGGCACTGATCAATCTGTGCAGCTTTATCAACAGCACTACTTAGATTCTTTACAAAGAGAATTTTTTTAATTCAATCTCATGTAAATCATTAGATGGGGTATTTGAATTTGCGGCAGATTCATTTAAAATTTAAAAAAATAATTTGAAAAAAATAATTTTCTTTCAATTTTAAATTAATTTACCGCAAATTCAAATACCTCATCAACTCTCCAATTACTTGAACGCCACAACTATCTTGGTATTACCCATAGATTAGAATATGGATGGATTTTTATTGTAATAATAAGAAATTTCAAATCTTCAAACGTTCTTCATTGAAATGTCAAGAAAAATGAAATTTTGTGACGAACAGTAGTTTTAGTTTTTTATTCGATACGATTATGTTTGTTTGTTAATAAATGGTCTGATATTCTGAAAGTTTATGAAAAATTGAACAACTTTCATTCTGAACATTTATTTGAATGTCGCTTTGTTTCATAACAAAATGGTAAAATCTGATCTCATCCCTCAAGAACCATTTCATTTTTTGGAATTTTATAACAATCAATATCTTTTGAATAACTCAGTTCTGGCTAAAACCAAATTGATGAGATTTTTATTGGCCGTAGTTCTAAATAGTTTATATCTATGGTAAAAATTCCAGAGAATTTAGCTGCTATGATTAATGAGATACAGGTGTCACACGATGAAAAACTAAAAACTTCGTGACCCTTGGTCAAGGCAAATAGCCACTGTTGAGATTAGTCTCAACTTCATTATAGAGCATTCTATGTATCTAAGAATTATATTCTTTGTTTTCAACCTTGAGAAAATTCTTTCATATTTTTTTCGAATGAAAACTACAATTTTTAATTCTGGTTTTTCATTTGATTAATATATTATAGAAGAAATGTGTTAAGAAGTAATAAAAAATCTAATAGGTATACTTCAACTCTTCGTATGATAGTAATTATATATTCTTTGATAGAATCTATTGAATTTCTAAGGAACATATTTATTAATTATGAATAATAACAAAAAAAATCAGCATAGCTTTATTAGAACAGATTTATAATTATGCTCTATGAAAATTAAGAAAACTTGTTGTTTTAATAGTCAATATGTTTGAACCGAACAAAATACCATCATGAACTATCGGTTCATATGAACGTTTTGCCTTTATTTGTCTATCTTTACTAATATGTAAAAGACGTGAAGTATTGTGATCAATCACAAGCCATTCGTCACATTTAAGTGAACAAACACGATTTATTGATCCATACGAGGGATGGCAGAACGTTTTCAAATGAGGCAAAGCTCAGTTTAAGATTATTGGTTACTCTCGAAAACTTTTACATATAACCTTGACATAGACTAAAATAAGTTCAGGTAATAAGTTGTTTTAGATTGTTTAATTATTTTAATATTATGGAAAATACTGTGCTACTATCTGTTCCAGAAGTCAAGGCACTCGGATGTTTCTTGAATAAATTTTGATAGGAACAAGATAAAGACCTACGGTTTTCAGCGTTCGATAGCCAAGACCCAAGAGCATATTTCCACAAGCGAAGTTTTTCCTGAAAAAAAATTCCAAGAGGGAGTTTTTGCAGGATTTCTGGAAAATCACGCTAAATCTCTGAAAACAGCCATAGGAGTATATTGATTTTTTTGGGACAACCAAGCAGTTTTCCGGAAGCCGTAGGCTTCCCCTTTTTTTAGGTGTGGCACCTTTAAAAACATGCCAACATAGGTTATCGACCATGCTGAACATCATGGCAATATTTGTTTTCTTTTTAGAACAAAATTTTCTTATTAATTATACATAAGCATTATTCATACATGCTGTTTCCATATGAAAAAACGCCGTTATGACGATTTATGCATTCTTTTCGCTTGAATATTTTTAAAAAAAATGAACAGAAAGAATTTTCTACTTAAAAACAAGCAGTTCAATCGTCGGTTTCATCATGATGGTTTAATATATCGTCGCTGTCCACTAGATCGTTTTCTAATTCTTCAGCATTCTTATCTGCAGCCTTAAATATTTCTTCATGTTTATGCACATGTGAAAAATAGCCAACGGCATGTTCAGGACCACACGCTGCCAACCACTCGTTACAAAGTTGCGCAATATCATTCAAACTAAAACGTACATTATACTTTCTCACATAATTTTTTAAACCAGCCCAAGCAAGTTCTATTGGAATCAAGACACAGTGCTTCACCGGTATTCGCACAATTTCAATATCATATTTACTTGCTACTTTATCAACTATGTATTCTTTTGGTGGTAAATGAATAAAAGCTAATTCAATTAATTCGGCTTTTGTCATATAAGTTTCAAATTTAATTTGACGGATATTTAACCGATCAACAATTAATTGTTTTTTCCAAGCACGCTTGGATGGTTCGGATTCCGGGGTCAACTTGTTGTGCCACGTGGCATTATCTATAAGGCTTTTCGGAAATCTGACAATCACATGGGTTATCATGAAGAGTTGACCACTAGAGCGAGGAAAGTCCAAAATAACCGAAAAACTGATCATGTTATTTTCAATTAATCTCTATAATAATGGCAATTTTAGCTAATTTCCCATGTTCAGATCGGAAAGTACTAGCTGCACTATCCATCGATGCAACGAAATTATTATTATCTATAGAGTGTTCTTCATCGCACTTGACAATATCCAATGAACGAAGGTGAAAACTGTTTAGACTAAGAAGACCACTAATTGCTAAGCGTTGATCTATAAAAATCGAAAGAAAAATTCAGTCTAAAAGGATTTTAGAGATCAACTTTTACTCATCACCTTTTCCTTCACTGTTTCTCAGGCGGCCATAACCCTTATCATCAAACCACACGACTGTTTTTTCCCTCATTTTTAGATAACCATGTTTCATCGTGATAGTAAATAATAGAATTGTTTGATCGTAATTGATCGATTTTACTGAAATATATAGCACGTTGAGCTTGAAAAGCCACTGAATCCATTAAAACCTTTGCTTTTTTTTGTTTGTCTATATTTAAAACCCAATGCTTTCAGTTGACGATATAATGAAGTTTTCGATTTTATAGGAAAATCAGGATATTGACTTAATAGTGTTGACAATAAATTTTCGAGACTAGGACACATTTATCTTGCAATAAAAGATGAAATGTTAATCTGATTGTGTCTTGTTCAAACATTGTAAGTTGTACTTTTGGACGAGCAGAACGGTCGACGGGTGACAATGGCGTTGGTGATAATGAAGAGCTTGACGAATGAGTAAATCTAGTAGATTCTTCTTGCTCTTTCTTCAATTCTTTTCTTTCGTGTTTTAGCCGATTGATTGATCTTCGTGAAACCCCAAGTATTGCTTCAAGACGAGCAATAACATTATTAAGAGGTATTAATAAAGCATTCTTTTCTTTCTCGACGAAATCAATAATAGAAAATGTCAGTTGTTTAAATTCTAACGAGAATTCCTTTGGCATTGTCAAATAAGAAAAAATTTTATATCTAAAACGATAGATTACAATATGAGCTACAAAGGTGAACCCTCAATGACATCTTTTTACAATTACCAATCAGTATGTGAGCCTCCAAATATTTCATTTTTCTCTGTGATACAAGAAAAATTCTTTTTCTTCATTGTTTTTTATATACTCAAGCGAAAAGAATGCATAAATCGTCATAACGGCGTTTTTGTCATATGGAAACAGCATATATGAATAATGCTTATGTCTGATTTATAAGAAAATTTTGTTCTAAAAGGAAAACCAATATTGCCATGATGTTCAGCATGGTCGATAACCTATGTTCGCATGTGTTTTTAAAGGTGTCACGCCCAAAAAAAGGGAAATCCTAGGGCTTCCAGAAAACTGCTTGGTTGTTCCAAATCCTAGGAGATAAAATTTCTTTTAATATCTAGTTTTGTAGAGGATACTCTGGGCTATCTACCCATCTAAAAAAATCAATATACTCCTATGGCTGTTTTCAGAGATCTAGCGTGGTTTTTCAGAAGTTCTGCAAAAACTCCTCCTTGGATTGTTTTCAGAAAAAACTTCACTTGTGGAAATATGCTCTTGGGTCTCGGCTATCAAATGCTGAAAACCGTAGGTCTTTATCTTGTTCCTATCAAAAGTTATTCAAGAAACATCCGAGTGCCTTGACTTCTGGAACAGATAGTAGTCATCAATTATCGGTCTTCTAAACGAAAGTAGTCGTCAGACCCAGTTGTTTTTACAAATCTGGTCACCAGATGCTGTTATTTTAACAAAAACTGGTCACCAGTATCTAGTCTAAAAAATAGAAACTAATCATTGCACCCAGTTTGTAAAAAGAACCCACTTACACTGGTGTTCACTATGAGAGACCCATATGTGATGTTTTATAGCAAAAAGTTCCTAAATTAAAGTTCCTACTTTGTCACCATAATTAACCTGAATTGTTTGGTAGTCCGCAAATGTGGACCTAGTTGAGGAATCGATTCAGGAAACTACAATTTGTGGGAAATGATAACCTACCTTTTTTATTGATTCGAAATCACCTGTGTCAGCATGACTATTGTCGTTGATTGACGGATCTGTTCAAGTAAATTAAGCATTATAAACTTTTACTATAGCATAGAAAGACAACATATATTGATACTTTTTCCTTTCCATATATATGAAATATGGACATTTTATCTTTACTAATTCGCTTTTATCGAGTGTTAACTACACAGATATGCTAATTTATAACGCAGCAAAAAGAACTCCTTATGACATAATTATATAATACAGGAAAATATCGAAAAATTTACTAATCAATCAATTACAATATATAAAATTGATGATATTTTTATTTAAGATGACTATTTGAAGAATCTACAATTAAAACTATTTTAACTATGGTTCGAGTCTGGTTGCTTTTGAATGTCTAACCTGATCATTTGTTATGGATTTAAACGAAATTTTTTACCATTGATTCTTTTAGAAAGAAAAAAATTATTTCGAAAACAAGTTAAATGAATATTTCAATTTTTCTATTAATTCATAATTAAAACATGACAATTATAATATTATTTTAATTCATTTAAAGAGGTTTGATTTATTAGATTTTCTTAATTGACTTGTTGTATTGTTTAATCAAGAAATATTCCATAATTTGTTTCGAAAAAAAACAACGCTCGAATAAATAACTAACGTATTCAGTTGACGAATAATTTATTTTAACATATAAACTTTATTATTTTCTCCAAACGTAATTTATGATTAATACAGATAGAAAACAGGTTGCTTTTTTTAGGTTTTCATTTTAACGTTCTTTTCTATCGATAACTATTTATGTCTTCTATCTTCGATTGACAAATTTATTCTATTATAATGAAATACATTTGACAGAAAACGAATCTACATGTATTATTTCCATTCGATTAAAATTTATACAAAAGTTGTTATATTTTCTCTTATAAACTGAAAAATTCCTTGGTGTAAGTTTTATTGGTTGTTCTTGAATTTTTGATAAGATAATACTCTTCGAATAATCGAAGTTACTCAGTAAGTTCGAGAAAAATTCAAACGATTTTAATTAAGATATATTTTAGTCAGTATAGGAGAAGCTTACAGATAATTGATATGGTTGACTACTTCATTAATATCGAAGAAAGCTTTCGAGATAAATAAATAGAAGAATAATTTGTTATGTTAACTTGAGTTCGAATTTTCTTTTTACTGAATATAATATGTCTTTCCTAAAATCATTTGATTTTTTTATAAAAAAAAAAAGTAAATAAGATATATCCAATAGAATATATATGGAAAAGAAATACAGTGTATATATTTGCAAAAAAATGACATATAATAAGGTATGACTTATGTAAGTAAGAAAAAAAATGACCAAGAATTATAGTTATCATTCTAAATAAGTGCTACTGTAGGTTTTAAACTAAATAAAACACGTTCTTTGTACTCGAAAACTATTATCTATTTATATATTGTTCAGTGTCTGT